TCAATTGATTAATATCGTATGGCAATTGGACAAATTGTTTGCTCCTTATAATTTTTCTACTCTATTTATATTTTCTTATTATCTCTTTCACACTTCATTTTTCCATGTAATATTGTAATATGAAACATGCTAGTGAATTTATCATAACTTCAAGATATCAAAAAAGAAAATGCTGAGATATAAGACATTTAAAGTCACATCTCAATATCTGGATAATTCTCTTAAAATTGCAACAATTAAATTCACAACCAACAATTTCATAAAAGAAAAAAATATATATACGATGTGTTTTAATAAGAATGGAATAAAAGTAACTTACTCGAGACGCCTGCCACTTTCGCCACTTTGTTAATCGTGATTCAGGAATTGTCGCGACGTAGAGGACGCAATTTCGCGCAATCACTGTGCAACGGAATCTCGCGTTTGATTACGACTGGCGAGATCAAGGAAACTTCTCTAAGAGAAAAGCACGCGCGCACCATCGACCACGCGGAGATCAAGAATCGAACTGAGACGGTACGGTTACGTTGAAGCGCGCGAAAACTGTTAAGCTCTATCCCCATCCATGGCGTCTCGACGCCAAGAATAAACCCGCGAGTCCTCCCCACCATCACCATAAAAACCACATGTATTATGCCGTTTTCCATCCCTTTTCACCGCTGCTTTTTTGTGTCACATTCGAATTCATCCGGCGCGACGCCTACTCACCAATAAGTCCGATACATCGTCCGATACATTTATTTAACATGTCGCGCGTATATTTTAATAATTAATTATCGCGCCTCAAGTTGCGTTTGTTTTGGCTCAAGAATCGAAGAGTTGGTATTTGCTAAAATCCGACTTCCGTCGATTTCCCGTCGACCCAACGACTTTCCTTCTTGCGAATTAGACCTGAACAAATTTTCACCCCTTTCATTGCGCCGTCCTCCGGTGCTCCTTAAAGCAGATCGTCCCCGTGGTGATGAAATAGAGCCGTCTCGTCTAAAATTACCCGGAAACACGGGAGATTCATTACGCTCCCGTCCGGTTTCGCGCGTCACCGATCGTAGAAAAGGGAGCTTGAAAACTTTTTCGCGCCGGCTCACATAACTCAGCGGGTCGTTAAAGTGGATCGTTCGCGAGCACGGTGCGCCTTAAGAGACTTATTTTCCATCGCGTGGGTGCAGCGTGTGGGCATCGCGACGCTTCCGTCATTCGTCCCATCGCGACGGGAGTTCGTTACACTCGCCGATTCGCCCGCGGGAAAAGGGTTTCCGTGCCGGTAATGTCGTCCCGCAACGTGGAAACGCGTCCCCAGCGCCGACCGCTTTGCTTTCACTCGGCCGCGAGGAAAATCGCGACGAGCCCGGGGGACTCGCATTAAATCGTTAGACAAAGTAGCGACGCAAATCGAAGGCTCTAGGGCGTCAATTGATGCGGGCGCGTCCGCCGGCAACGGACTGTTCGTTTCGATACTTGACAGCGCGCGAGTGGGACTGGAATGACTTAAGTGTGATTTAGAACGTCTGAACTCGACGCGGAGACAATTAAGGGGATGGGGAGTGCGGCTTGGGAAATCGTGCGCTGTCGTCTATTGAGGTGGTTGAGAATAGTTTACAAGTCGCGCGTGTGCGATTGAACTTCTCTATGAAATCCAACGCGCGATTGTTTGTCAACGTAGGTACAAGTAACTCTGACTTGAAAAACTTGCTGATGCAATTGACACACGAACCCTGTGCCCGTGCGTGTGCGTCAGAGGGACCAATGCTCCTTTTCTCTAATGAGTGTCTCTAACCGTATCTCGCGACTCGACCAGTTCTTACACAATCATGGGAATCATAATGCTCCTTGATTGACGATTGAGCATCTCTTGAATCTTGTGTGCTCGTTTATCGGCGTAGGTATACAGGCGACCTTATCTCGAAAAATGCTGATGCAATTAGCATGCGAAGCTTGTGCCCGTGCGTGAGAGGGATCAATGATCCTCTTCTAATGACCGTCTAACCGTATCTCGCGAGTCAACGAATTCTTACACAATCACGGGAATCATAATACTCCTTGATTGACGATGAGACTTTTCTCTGAAACTTCGCGTAATTATGTATCAGCGTAGGTATATGCGGGAAACCTTGGCTCGAAAACTTGCTGATGCAATTAACATATGAACTTTGTGCCCATGCGTGTGCGTAAGAGGGATCAATGGTCCTTTTCTAATGACCGTCTAACCGTATCTCGCGATTCAACCAATTCTTACACAATCATGGAAATCACAATACTCCTTGATTGACGATTGAGCTTCCCTGAAACCTTGCGTACTCGTTTACCGACGTAGGCACAGTAAGTTAATTAGGCGTAATTAAAATATGAACTTCTTGTGCCTGCGTGTGAGAAAGATCAATATTCTTCCTCTAATGAGGGCCAAACGTATCTCGCAATTCATCAATACAATCATGGAAATCATAATCTTCTACGATAGATAAGATTTTTCAACAATCCGTACTTTGAACGCAAGACTCAATGTTAAAAACTCCACACAAAAAGATACATACTGCATAGAAATAAATATCACTTATGTTTCAGATATTTAAAAAATTTATATATTCACGAATTTAGTGTGAGTTCATCATAAGCATCAAATTTCTCCAAGATTCTAAATTCTAGTAAGTTTAGTATTTCAATCGAGAATATTAAAACAAAAATTCATTTATTACACATAGAGAATTAAATTTTAGAATTAAATTTTTGTTCAAAAAGTATAAATTATGTTTTTCGAGTATATGATAATAAGCTTTTCTAAAATTTGTGGCATACTTTAAGACCATTGTCAATAAAAGACTTCTAGTTGAAGATAACCGTTACTTAAAAGGAGGCCAGTAAATTGAGTAATCGCTCTTCTTAACAGTAGAATAATACTTTTGTGCAGTCGTCGGATTTACACGGAAGAATCTCGATGATCGATTTCGCCCTGACAACGGCAGGGTACACGATCTCTTTCGCTCGCGGAGCTGCCCGGTTATCGAGAGGTGGAATTGATTCCAGTTTGGTCACACCCTTCAGTCCTTGGCAAACGGGGGTGGGTATCTGGCAGATGGGTCGCCAGCGGTATTGCGGTTAAACTACTGGCATCCAATCGGCCCAACCCATTCACCGATCTATCCGTCTCCCTTCAGCCGCACCGTTGTGCCCCTCACCGGCACCCTCTATCTTTCTTTCCGGTCTCGCCCGCCGTCACTCTCCGTCCCGTAACGAACGGCGTCGATTTAGCATCGCGAGCAATTTGGGTCACAGCTTTATTGGAACCCACCGGCCGATCGCTAACGAAACGAATTGACTCCGGTCGTCCGATGTCGCCGACGCGCTTTTGGGGGAATCATGTCGATGACGCAACCAAGTCTCGATTCAAGCGCTATAATGAGCCGAGCAAATCGCTATATGGGAACCTACTGTTTTTTCGCTGAACGTTTCTTGCTGGGGCCACGTAATGAGCGTGAGTCTTCCCGCTGTGGGGGCTTAACTAATTGGAATTTGCGCAATTACGAACATTATTAGTGTTACTAACGTTATCAGTCCAACCTCTGAGAACGGTCGGGTCTAAGAAGAAACAGAAGAAACGTTTTGAAGATGTTTTTCCTTTGCAGAATTTTAAGATTGTTTTCATAATTTTGGTTCCATTAGAAGAGCTACGTTTATATACAAGGAATCTAAAGGTGTGTACTATTATTTTAAGGGATTTCCCGTTTCTCATTCTCTGCGATTTTGATCATCGCTTACGTTTCTCACAATTCTGTGAGAGAATATTCTCGACCAAATTGAGGAACATATTTCTCGCGTTGCGGACTATTTTTTAACAACCGTTCGAATTATCCCGGCAAGAAGCTGTGCCGGGGAGGAACAGCGAAGGAGGAAAGTGAAGATGTAAATAGGCGACGATGGGGTTGAAACGCTCTGCTCGGAGGCGACTAACGCGATGGACCTTGCCCATCCATCGGGCCGACCTTTGATCTATTTCCAGCCGTGGAAATCGCCCCCGTCGCGATAAACCGCCATTTTCCCTCCACTTGGCAGAACGTATTTCCGGCGGCGTTAGTCAGCCGTTCTAAATGCACCGTACTAACTGCCGCGTTTTCGTCTAGCTCGTCCTCCCTTCTCCGCCGTGAGTGCCGGCCAAGTTGTATTTCTGACTAGCTCTCGCTGTGTCAGATCGAGGTTAATTGGGTGCCATTACGTCGAAAATTAGTACGAATTAGTTGACGACGATGAGCTCTCATAGCGTGCATTGTAGATCGCGGCTTTCGCGATATCGACGAATTAATCGACGAGCTTGTAAATTTACAGAACGAGAGATGGACATCCATTTGTAGGGAACACGTTGTAAACAAACGATGACAGTGATTCTATTCCAATATTGTTTATATTCATTCGTCCATGTTTCAGTCGAACTTTTAGAAACGCGATAATTGTTACCTCAATATCAATTATTCTATTTTGTTTTGTTTGTAGCTCTCTTTTTTGTAAAACGATATGAAACACGTATCTTTTCTTGATTTATAAGTATCTCGTTAGTGTACCTTTTTAGTAAAAAAAAATCAATATTTTTCATCTTTATATCTCTCTGCGATACCCCAATATCTAATATAATAAATATAATAAATATACTCATAAAACTTATTATACATATATAACAAATTTTGTGATGTGTTTCTAATAAAGACATCAATTAAAATACTGCATCAAATACCCAAGATAAAATTATTATTTTTTTAAACAAAATTAGGTTATCTCTTTAAACCAAGTTATTTCAGGCAACTATATATTTATACGTATAAACATTTTATACGTATAAACATTTATACGTATAAACATATAAATATATAACATGTAAAAATAATATATATAACTTATAAAGTTTTATAAAATTATAACTTAACTTTATAATTTTATAAAATTTTAAGGTAGAAAAGTAGGTTATGATTTTTTACCGCGATCGGAAAAGCATGATGGGAAAAGCAACGTGTACTCACCGTCGTCGCTGATCTCGAGATTCGTGTAGCTGTCCCAGTGTAGGATGGGATCGTGATGTGCCGATGCATGTGGCACAGCGGGTGTTGGTGCCGGTACTGGGCCGTCCTGACGTTTCGCATCGGTGGCGAAGTAGAGTGTCACCACGCTGTCGGGCGGGCATCGGGGATCGTCGCAGGCGACGTCGAGCTCCGATCGCGGGAAGGACACGACGTTCTCCGTAATTACGCAAGTGTGGAACTGCGGAAACAATAATGGTCGATGTGAGAGTATGCGCGACGTAATCGCTGGCACAACTTGTTCACCGATATAAACGAGTTGGTATTTCGCAACGTCTTCTTCTTTTTCTTTCTTTTTTCTTATCGAGGTTCGTAGCGTTCAATATTCTATGTACGATGTGTAGGATAATGTCAGGGAGGGATCCTCGACAAAATCTTATTTTAAAGTGATTATTATACGGATTTAATGATGGGAAATTTATGATTGATAACAGCTTCTGATACAATTTCTGCTTAGGAGGAAATCGATCGCAAATCCGTCAAGAAAAAGAAGAACGAGCAACTTTTTTTACAAATTGTATTTATCGTATAAATCACTGTAATATGCAAATGAGCAATTTTTATGATATCGCCGACAAGAGTAAGCAAACGTTTGCTCTGTAATTTCAATCAAACTAGACAAGTACAATCTATGTCTGTAAATCTTGTTATTCTAACAAGATAACACCCAAAGCAACGCGCTGTGATCGATGTGTTTTTGCAACGAGTTTTTACGCGTTTTGGCTGGCAATACAGGATAAAGTGTATCCCGACTATTAACTGATTATGACGTTATATCTCGATTTCAAAGGATGTTGTTTGCCTGCCGGGCACGAAATTACCGCGCGAGCGCTCGCCGCGTCTTTTCCGAACACGTAGATCCAGATTGCTGTCCTTGTAACTATTTATGAAGTACTTTGCATCAGCTGTCATTTGTGCCACTGATTTCATGCTGCGTCACTTGCGTGCTACAACGCATTCGTCATTGCGACGCGTATACGTGCGACGAATACAAATTACACCGGAGTAAGAGTCGGCACGCTCGGCGATATTTGATTTATATATTTTAACACGCGCGAAGTGCTTACTGTAGCTGTACCCATGGATACCGTTCTGGGACGAATTGTAACGAAGAGATTTTGTACAAGCGCTCTCCTCATTGCTTTTAGAAGTCACTTTTATCGGCAGAGTTTTAAGGGATACAGATTTATATTATTACATATTGCATTCTCACCTGGAGGGAAAACATGACTTCTCGGGTCTGCTTGGAGTACACCCTGTGGTAACACTTGACCAAGATGTCGCCTCTCAGCCGAAGCCCGCCGAGATTAACCGTGAATTCGCGCGCGTTCGTCACCGAGTACAGATCCGACGTGTAGACCGGCGTGAGTCCTTCGTATACTTTGAGGAAGGCCCGACAGCCCGTCGGCTCAAAGAGGGGCACGCCGAGGACTGTCAGGTGGGTCAGGTACAATGGTGACTGGCTGATCCTCAGTGAGCCCGACAGTAGTCCGCTGAAGTACTCGATGTATCTGAAAATCCCGAGAAGCCGTTATTACGCCCGTGAGGTCAGAATCAAATGCCGCTCAAATGAGCATTGTATTCGAAATCTCAGCCCAGAATTATTTAACGGTTATTATTTAACGGTCCCAGTGTTTAGAGGACGAGAAACGAGTGTCACGAGCGTGTCGGCGAGCTGCCGGACCGGCGAAGCCCGTCGTGACGCGAGATTATCCTTTTGAGACGCGAAATGAGAAAACGACAGGACAAATTTCTACCGAGTCGCAGATGCGCGCCTGGGGGGGAACGTGACAAGTGGAATTGATGGCTCGAGCAGCGGAAGCCTCAGCCTCCGTGACACGAAAAAGGTATGCATGTCGGCCGAGCGGACAGATACGAATACGCGTTCGGGCAACACTCGGCACGGCCGTTGTGAAAGATCTCTCCGGCCGGTAATGGATTCATACGCTCGCGAGAGCGCAGCCACGCTAACGACATGCTAATGCTCGCGGCTCGCGGAATTAATGGAGGAACTCCGGTAGGCAGGACCGCGAGGAGATCGTAAGGACCACGGGGAGGCGGTAGGACGAGTAAGAAGAGCGCCGAGGAAGTTGCCGCCGCGCGCGGGAATACCCACTGCCGCGGCTCATTACGATCGTTATGAATGCGTACGGCGACGCGAATGACGAGGACAACGATAAGGACGATGATGACGGTAATGATACGGCAGCCGCGGTAGCGTCGAGCTCGATGGCGCGTAATACGCGCGATAAACTGTCGGGCAGGCCGCGTTTGTTTCGCTAAGAGGGACCGATCCGCGGGTATAAATCGAAGGGAACGAGCGCGGCGAAAAGGCGACAACTGAAATGCGTCGCCTTTATTAGGTCGTTACGATCGGGATTCGGGCCGCCCGAAAAGATGCGCTGCGATTATTTGTGTACAGCGCTCAAACAATCATTTACACTTGGACACGCGATTCTGTGAATAATTAGCACGTTCGCTGCCAGCGTCACATACGGAGTGTTCTCATTTAATAGCGTACCTTGAATATCTCGAAAACAAGACGGAGAGAAATGTTAAATAGAAGTTGCATGGTTTTAAAGAGGAGAGAAGATGGTAATATTCACACTTTATCTTGGAATCACCTCGGAGAGGATTGATCAGCTTTAATTTTGTATACGGAATTATAGCGCTTTTCTAACACTAATTACGTAAAAAGAAAGTAAAATGATCTATGTGGGCAAAATATTTCAAATAAACCGTGTTATTTATGATAAATATTCTAGAAAGTTTATAATATCATTAATTTTTCGAATAGATTTAATAGTAAAGTTTAGTAATAAAGTTTAGTAATAAATTTTAGTAAGAGAGAGAGAGAGAGAGAGAGAGAGAGAGAGAGGAGAGAGAGAGAGAGAGAGAGTAGTCACTTTAATAAATTTTTACAAGGATAATGATAATAATAATAAATTCTTCGAAAAATTTGAACATGTCATTTCTTTTCGTCATATTTTTCACTTATTCGGGTTGAATTTAAGGCGGAAAAAAATGCGATCGATATAAGCGGGAACGGAATGAAAAGAATCAGCCGCGTGTAAATTCGCGTTTCCTCCGAGTCGTTCTAAATGCGCGCAACGACAGCGATGAAGTAAACGATAAGATCGCCGTTGATAATGATGATGATCATGATCATGATGATGATGGAATCTCCCTATCTTTAGATCGATGGTTCACGGTACACGCGTACATAAACTGAGCAAGAGGAACACTAAGCGCGCAACATGACCGATCGTTTTGTTTCGTTGATGCCATCTTCGCTCGGCGATCTTCTCGCGAGTAAACGCCGCAATCATGGTGTGAACGAAGAAATTATAAAGCTGCGCGTTAAAAAAATCGATGATGCTAGGTTACCTCGGGAAGGACTCCGAGGAATCCCGAATAAAACTGCGGAATCCATCAGGAGGGAGTGATCGGATGGGCATCAACGTGATTAATAGCGGCGAAAGAACACGAGAGATGTGCGGCGAGCGAGCAGGGATGATTGAAGATGATGACGACTCGATAATGAGGACTCGACATTTCAGGTCGATGGCGCGCCGAACGGATAACACGTGAGATGACGGGAATAACTACTCAAGGACGTGAGGTGTCCTTCTTAATAGGACTGATACGGTAATAAACGTACGCCAGTTACACGCGCGCTTCTTCTTCCTGCGTTATAAATTTGAGGACGCTAAATGGCTTCCGCCGTAAACGTCGCGCGCGTTGCCGATACGGCCGCTTCTTCAGCTGAAACGATTGAATAAGTAGCGGTCGTTTTATTGAGCTTAAAATCGAGCGACAGTTTTTGAAGGAGACTTCAAGCTGAGAAGAGACCTTTGCTTCGCGAGGATGTGTGTGTGCTGATGGTAGTGATCGTAAGAGTAACTGCTGAACGTGTGATTACATTATTGCGAACATTGTGTTGGCGAGTCTCAGGACAAACAAGAATATTATTTGCGGAATCATTTCAATGAAAAAAAAAAGGGAAATGTAAGTTTTTAAGACGTTCTACCGCCGATACTACTTGCGCGTTGAAATGAAACAACAGGAATAAGAAAGGACGGAGTTTACGAGAGTCCAGGTACAATCGTCCGACCGAATATGGAATACCGTAAAATAGGCTTACGAGAGGTAAGCCTTCTCCGACGCGGTCGATTGTACGCCGTTAAAGGTGCCGACGAGTGGAAATTAAAATAAATCGCGCGAGCGCTTACGCACATAAAACCACGCGCGCGCGCGCGTCGTTTTAGCGACGACATACACACAGAGGGAGTGGGAAATAATAAAGTTATGAACTCTCTTGTCGCGATACGCGACGGCGTGCATGGAGAACCACGCCCGCGGATAAACGATTCTACGACGTTATCAGAATTATTCGCGAGGATGGCTACGGTAGTGGAGCGAGTTTTATCTTAGCGCGTCAACAAGTATATAGCTGCACACGTTGTATGCTTACGCGGCTTACTTTTACTCTCTTTCTCTCTCTCTTTCTCATTACCTTCGATGCGACGGAACCTGCAGCGATCCAATCTTGTCGTCGAGGAATCTCCTCATGGCGAACCTGTCCAGCGCCTGATCGCGTCCCCCGCAGATGCTGCTGTAGTTCATGTAAGCGGACACTGCCACACCCAGCCGCTCCTTGCTGCCCCTGAAGAGACGCTAACGTTAATTCGGTATCGCGAGCTGAACGCGCGCGCCAACGGTTGCGCGCACCTCCTCCGTGGTGCACGAAAAGATTTCGCCCCGGGCCGATCGCGCTCTAATGACGTTATTATTCGCGATGAATGGAAATGACTAACGGGAAGTTATGGATAGCGGGGAGTTCCGAGGAGGCGGAGAGAACGTACACCACGACGAAATTATGGCTTTTACGGTCGGCCGTTCTAAAAACTAGGTCACATTGTATTAATACGCGTGTAGAGACAGTCTGGCATTTACATCTCGTATCCTTCGAGAAACGTTCCCCTTTTCCTTCCGAAGAATTCGCTTTTCGTTACTCTTTTCGCAACTGACGACGGTTATTCAGCGATGTCGCTTTCACAGGTAAGAACGAACATTAAGTGACTTAAGTTAATATAATTTGAGCGGGACGATTTGACTTTAGGAGAAGAGGTAAAAGTGAAACTGTAATAAAAGTGAGAGTGAGAGAGGGAGGGAGAATGGAGAGGGGATGGGGG